AGATCCAAACTGTGCCTTAGACGACTCTGCTTTCGACCACTCGAGTTATCTGGAAGCTATGTCACAAAACAGCGTCTCGAATTAATGGTGAATCCGCGACGTGTGATTATGCTCTGCAGGATTTGCTGCTTAAAACACCAAATATCAATCTCTCGCGCCCTTCCCGTGACCAATAATATCCTCCACCGGGAGGCTACGGCTGGACCATGTCACATGTGAAATGCCACAATTTAAATGTGACCCTTAAAAATATATATACAACAATTGGTGATGGAAGATGTATGGGTACAATTGCAAAGGGTCACGACCCAGTCTCGCATGCATATGTGATTCCAACGCTCCACCGTCGTTGAGATGCACGCACACACAGTGCTGCATTGCATCTCAACCGCTAATGCCGTTGCTCTAGAATGCCTTATCGGTACTCCCTGGGGTGGAGAATGCTTTCACAGATTTTCTTGAGCATTGATACATCCCCATCAAATATGTGCATGATAGCCAAGTCACGGCAGTAGCTTTATTAAGAGAAAGCATCGTGAAAGATGGCACAGCATGTACTGTGTGGCGCTGTGGTACGTTTCATGCGAAACATAATTTCATGGAAAGGAAAGGGCGTGACTTGAATCGCCTACTGAAATCAAATGCGAACCTAAAGAGGAAATGCATTAAAAAAAAGCAGACAGCACGTAACGCTTTAGCTTACTACTCGCGGTGGACACCGCCGGTTGGTGCACACCGATCACGTCTGACACGCCCAAAGTGGTACCGACCAACGCTCTGAGCCCCATGGGCAAAGCTGGCCACTTCGCTGGCTACTTCGCTGGCTACTTCAAATGAGAAGAAAATCACAACCCTATGGGCAGTGTCGTAACTCGCTGTCGCCGGCTGACCGCGTCATTGTTGGCGAGGGTCGACGGCACAGCCGAGCGGCAGCGTTGTGTTCGTCGTGGACGAAAAGAGCAAATGGCGCTCTGCTCGGCTTTCCATGCCGGTTGAAGATTCCCACGTCGACGTTGCCCGTCGCGTCGACGTGGCGAGTAACATCGGCGTCGCTCGTCGCGCAGACGTGTGACGAGTCACATCGATGTGACGAGCAACATCGGCGTTGCCCGTCGCATCGAAGTTGCCCGTCGTGTCGATGTCGCCCGTCGCGTCGACGTGACGAGTGAGAGGGCCAACATGTTTTTTTTTATTTTGTTTTGTCACGTGTGCGGTACTCATGTTATTACCTACCACACAGCCCGCAGGGCTTTGACTCAGATGGTCCATGTTGGTGAGGGAGCTCGACACAAAGTCGAAGCGACAAACATTGTCGCGACGTGGCCATGAACATCTTGAGCCAACGGTGAGGAGGAGCCTTCCTTGACCATAATCCGATCGACACATCGGCGCGGTATGGACAATATCTCTGTAAAACAATCTCGTTAGGCGGTGGAAGTATAATGATTTGAATTACTGGCATAAAATTACTGCGACGTGGGGTGTAATGTGCGGCAATCGATATCAATAAATGTATTGGCCGACGCACACCTCCAGGACAGCTTCTCTACTCATTGCAATGAGGCAGTCGTGCGGATGATATACACTCAATTCAAATGGGGGAGTGGAGCGGTGGCACAGTGGTTAGCGCACCGTGCTATGAACCTGGCAAAACCAGCAAAGGGCCACTCTCGTGTCTCGCTTTTGTAGCTCTGATCATTTAACAAAAATAACCACACAGGGCCAGTTCAGAAATCACCCGCCACTGATGTTTTGCCGCACCTCTGATTAGCACGGTTGGTTACGTATGTACATACGTAGTTCAGCACACATACACACATACATATATATATTATCTGTGGCTGCGAATTGAACTCGGGGCAACAGGTTCAGGGCGCAGTTTGCTAACCGTGCGCCACTGCTCCATAGCAATTTACATTTCTTCACTGGCACACTAACGTTTTAATTAAGGCGTTATGTGCAACCTGCCAGACCGTTTAAAACAATACTTTTCTTAACTGTTTTTATGATGTATTTTTTGAATGACCTTCTCCGTGCTTTTTATTATTGGAGGAGGGGGGTGGGGCGGGGGAACGGTGGTGCAGTGCTTCGTGTCCTGCGCTATGAAGGCAGCGATCCACTTTTTGTTCCTGGCCACGGCTAACATCAGTGGCGAGTGCTATCGGAACCACGCTTGCTGACCAGCATCGTGAAGTATATTTCGCTTACCTAATTGAGATGATGCACTGCGCTAATCATCGCATCGCCATCGCCTGCCAGACAGATGCCCCAGGTGAATCTTGCAAATGAGAGTCTATCCTGGTTTCGTGCATTTTTCCACCTGGCTACACATTACAAACTAACTTCAACAGGAGGAAATGAATCCACTTGCAGTGCCACCGTCATACTCCGGCAAGCCAGGACAAGGGAGCTTCGGTGGCGATATGTTAATTACCTCGCCTTGTCTACAGGAGGTCGTGGGGTTTATCCTGACCCTGACGCCTCTATATTTGGAGTTGCGGTGTCTCCCTCCACATTGGTCGCGTGGGTTTTTTCTCCGGGTCCTCCAGTTGTTCACTCCCACATTCAGAATCAACATCACGCGTTTAGAGTAGTCGGCTGATACAAATTTCCACGTGACGAAAAGTCACTTCGTTGGGCTCTCATTTCTGATGGCCTGGTCGCTTATGAAAAAGAGCTACAGTGCTCAGTGGGGCCTTACCTGGTAAAAAAAAAATGGGTTATAGTTGAAATTCCTGGCTCCCCGCTTTACCACCTGCCATCGTATATTCTACCAGCCACCATCTAAGTCCAATAGAAGTGGAAATTCCCAGCCGCTAGCTTCAGCTGTCCATCCCGAGACACGTTTCAGCTGAGGCGAGATGTTGCAAGGAAGGGAACAAAAAAATAATACAATTCTGTCCCGTCCAGGAAACGGAATTTAGTTTAGACCGCGACACGCCACGGATAGGCAGGGCGGAGGGCGTTTCATGAATGTGCGTGATTCGCCAACCCCTCGCTGCCACCGGTAGTGCTGGATCGCGGGGCGACGTGCAGCGCAGCTACCCACCAGCAGTGCCGAGCTCTGGCCGGGTGCTGGAGAAGGGAGGGAGGGCCACGTGGTGACGCATGACCACCCCAACCGTGCGGGCGTGCAGGCAAAGAGCCTCTCTCTCTCTCTCTCGCTTTGCCGTGCCAGCCGGGAGATAATTACAAATTTGGAGCAATAACAGCGGCACAGTTGATGAGCTGGAATGGACCTGTGGGGTGCGTATTTTCCCTGCGATTGCCAGTTATCCGTGAAAATGAATGCGCTCGCTGACAGCTGAATAGCCCTCCTGTTAGTTACTGAGCTTTATAGACTGCTCTATTCTGTGGGTATGCAGTGATAGTGGTGGTGCCAGTGTGGTACCTTATCCTGACAATATTGTTTTTGCTTCACGGAGATCTTCACCGTTGCTACTCGTGGAGATACATACGGGCATTAGGACTATATGTGCACAATCAATCTGCTCAGCTGAGTTTGATTCCCGGCCCTGGCTAGCACCGGCGGTGAGTGATGTCCAGGGCTTAATTTCGCAAGCTGATATTTTACAGAACGCTGCGAGGCTGGCTTTGGGTAGCGATTATCGACATAATGCACTACCACTGGGGTAAAAGGTACACCCTATAAATAATAATGATCCTATATCGTTCTATTTATATTCCTGTAGTTTTATGAACAGGTTTATAAAAGAACAATTTCATCAACATGAAAAGGATAGACGGATTGTGAGTGGGTGCCAAAATAATTCCCCAAACAGCGTTCTGGGCTGTTCAGGCTGAAGTTACCCGCTCGGTTTTGTATGACCTCCAGGCAAGAGCTAAACGGCTGGAACGGTGGCACATTGCACTGTGGACCTGGCTCGCCTGAGTTCAATCCGAGCCATGGTGAGCGCCAGCGGTGCGTGAAATCTGAACCGGGTACAACTTCACAGCCATATACATCGTAGCGTGGTGATGTATGGTCAAACAAACCCAACGACTGACAAGGCATGTCGAGGGTTGAATTCTTATTATTGAAATATTAGACGCAAGTATATGCAATGTGCTTCGCGTAAAGTATTCTCAGATGCTTCGATTGATGAGCAGTGGAGTACGTGAATGAATATTGATTTACGTAAATATATTATACATTTCGATTTAAAGCTTTCGTGACTGCGTGGATTCATCTTTTGGGTTCTTTCGGTAAAGTCACGTAGAATGGAGATAACATCATAAAAATAATAATAACAGAATAAAATTCTCACGACTTTTCGGCCACAACACAAATAGCCTTCCTCAGGTGAAGAATGTATAGTAGAAGAATGTATAGTAGTCTATAGAAGTCTAGTTTAGTAGTCTGTATAGTAGTCTAGTTTATAGCATAGTTATAACGCAACACAGGACAGAGCAGCGCATCGTGGCTGTTTCCTTCCCCCCCCCCCTCCGTTCCGAACATAGATGGACTCGTCCGTCTGAACAAAGCTCGTCGCTCTCTGTGTTGTTAATCCCTCATACTAACATAATGCTAATCCCCCAGTTACATGCTAATTTACTGTTGATATGTAAACTCCTCTCCCCCCTCCTCCGTTCCGAACATAGATGGACTCGTCCGTCTGAACAAAGCTCGTCGCTCTCCGTGGTGCTAATCCCTCACACCAACATCATGCTAATCCCCCAGTTACATGCTAATGTATATGTAAACTCATCTCCCCCCTCCTCCGTTCCCACACCAACATCATGCTAGTCCCCCAGTTACATGCTAATGTATATGTAAACTCCTTTGTCAAGGCGCTCTGTTCCTCCCACACAGCTTAAAAGACGCTGCCATGCTTGGCAGGGTTCACTCAAGCGCTGTCTTCCGGACAGTCCTGTTTCTTCACCTGAGGAAGGCTACTTGTGTTGTGGCCGAAACGTCGTGAGAATTTTATTCTGTTATTATTATTTTTATTATTTTATCTCCATTCTACGTGACTTTACCGAGAGAACCCAGAAGATATATTATACATTTTATTTTTAAACCAGATCAATTAATAGGAAGCAGACATCTGGACAATGCAGCGTCCGCTCGTTTAGCTCACTTGCGCGTCTTCATCACGATTGCTCTCTCGTTGTTTACAAGTTGGTGGTGATGAACTTCGCGCTAAGATTGGTAGCGCGTCTGAATGGTGGGGAACAGAAATTGGCCAATGAGGTCAAACTAATCCATTGCGCACGGGAGCCAGAGGTCAATATAAATATATATTACACGTTTGAGCTGCCACAATTGGCACTGGTAATGCATTTGATCTCTGTTCACAGCCGAGAAATAAACTTATGGCTAACACAAAACTGATTCAAGCTCAATGCTGCACGAAGACCACTCTCGATGCCGTGTTGATCACAGGGGGTTGTTATTTCACCGTACCTTCACTGTGTTGCCCTGAGTGTGCGTTGGTAAAGGTGTTGCCCAGGACTGGCTTCAAATATCGTTCGGCAATCATGTTGAAAAACGGAATGGGAATCGAACTCTGGGTTTCACGTTTATGTCCAGCATGCTTACCACTGCACCACCGTTCCACCCACAAATAATCATCGAATATATAATTTGAATTACTTTAAATATTTTTTTATGAATATCAATAATATTAATAGTAGTACCGTACCTTCTATATATGTGTGAAGTGGGATTACATTGAGAGGCAAAAAGGGGAGCACGTGGATTAGAGAACATACATAGGATGTATGTTGACATTCTTTCGCACTGCACCTAGCCAATCGTGCTAATTGGAGGTGTGGGAGGACAACGAATTAGAGAACCATACGCAGATTTCGATTTCAAGCTTTCGTGACCGCAGGGATTAATCTTCTTGGTTCTTTCGGTAAAGTCACGTAGAATAGAAATAAAATAATAAAAAATTAAACGTAATAAAATACAATTCTCACGACGTTTCGGGCCACAACACAAGTAGCCTTCTTCAGGTGTAGAAACAGGACTGTCCAGAAGACAGCGCTTGAGTGAACACTGCCAAGCATGGACAGCATCTTTTAAGCTGTGTGGGCGGGGTAACATGCTAATTCATATGTTAATTCTGCCCACACAGTTTAAAAGACGCTGTCCATGCTTGACAGTGTTCACTCAAGCACTGTCTTCTGGACAGTCCTGTTTCTACACCTGAAGAAGGCTACTTGTGTTGTGGCCGAAACGTCGTGAGAATTTTATTTTATTACGTTTTATTTTTTATTATTTTATTTCCATCCTATGTGACTTTACCGAAAGAACCAAGAAGCTGAACCATACGCAGGTTAACGACATCGTTCAAACTGCCAAGAAAAGAAAAGGGACTAATTTACTTACGAACATTCGACTTACGAACTTTCAGAGATATCAACAAACCTGTCCGTATGTCCAGTTGCCTGTTCAGTACCGAGAGTCATAAGTTCAACCGCCGTGCAATAGATGGCAGTGGTGGTATCTACATCTGCAGAACGTGAAGAACCAGTTCCATCCACATCTACAGGAGATTATACAACTTTTAAAGCAATTCCCTGTGTTTAGTGTACATGCCGTACAACATGTTTGGACTTACGAATCAATCGAATTACGAACAGACCTCTGGAACCTAACTCGTTCGTGAGTAGAGGAGTCCCTGTAAAGTGGTGTTTGGGCAGAACGAGCCATGGCTAGACGGAATGACGGTCAACTGGTCGAGAAAAGTAACAGGGGTTGCAGCCAGGTATTAGAACGCGCCCGCTAGGATGTCCACTGAAGAGATGGAGCAATGAGGTCGGTTCATGTGGGCAGGCGCTGTGCGAATTAGGGTGGCAGACTTGAGAAAGCCTTCATCCAGCAGTGGATCGATCGTGGCTGCTGATGATTATAAATAAATTGGGCTCAGAGTTGCTAGAGTATAGTAATGTTGGAGAATAACATAAAGCCAAAAAAAAACCCAAAGGGACACAAATATGAAGTTTAAATAAATAACAGCATCGTTATAAGGTATTTATTTATTTAGTCGTGGCAGCATTACCGAGTCTACAAACTCCTTTTTTAAGTGGGTGCAGCCTGGAATCATTATTTTTCGATACTTTTTTTGTCGCGTGCAAGTAGAAAACAACAACAGCTGCTGTTCGCCACCGTGTGACGGTGGTGTCGCCGTCATGCTTGTGCCAGGTTAGGTGCACTTTGAGGCCACGTGAAGTATTGAACGAAAGCTGACAGGAGATCACGGGATAGACCCATGTGCCATGGGTTGACCGACCGTGGCACCGCCCATGCTTCTCACTGTGCACTCTCGCTGCGTATTTACCGCCCGGCTCTTCGCTCGTTGTCGCGAGCGTCGCTCCTCCGATCTGCGCCGTTGTTGGAGGGCGACTGCTTCCAACTGCGTCCTTCACGAGCCGCATCCACGGAGGCCGATCTTGACTCCACCGGTATCTCGTCATCGGCAAAAGTCTACTCAGCTCCACATCCTCCTGTACATTCCTGCAGACAACACACACACACACACACCGGGGAATAGAGCACTTACACTCACACATGCATTACTCCCGGGTGTTGGGACCTAGTCCTAAATTGAGGTCAATAATAACCTGGGAATGCACATATCCTCCCTGCCTTGATTATGCTTTATTTACTTTTTCCCATCCCAATTTAAAATAAGGCCGCTTACACACCTGTAAAGCAAGATTAATGCGGCTCGGCTCATCATCGTGAGCGCGTATAATTTACGAACGATTCGCAACACACTGGGGGGGGGGGGGTGGCGATGGGGGGGGGGTTGCGTTTGCGGGGTGCGGGGGCGGGGGGGGGCATTGGTGGGTAATTTGAGCGAGCGTCGTGGTTATGGGAAATTAAGAGCCACCAATTACTCTCCCATTCGAAACGTCGCCCATCACCCCCACCATCCCCAGCGGCCCCCACCCCTCGCCCGGTTGCCACGTACGCCGGTGCTGGGTCACCTCGCGACGAGTAGGTCAAAAATAGAACCCGCAGGTTTGTTAGAACTTCGTGCTGCCCGCAGCGGACATCGCAGCTGCCGCGATTTTCACCTGAAGACGGGCCGCTGGTGCTGCGTTCGAAACGTCGCGATTTATTTTACTTTATTTCTACCCACTTGGTGACTTTACCGAAAGAACCAAAGAGTGTGGATCCCTGCAGTCACGAAAGCTTCAAATCAAGATCAGGTCGTTAGAACATTCCATTGGCTCGAATCGACTGCCCTAATGACGGCAAAATGAGGGAATGTTTTCAACACCAGGCGCCTCATTTCTCTTGCTGCGGCGGAGCGAGCCCCTCTGGTTTGGATGTTGACGAGAGGCGCCCATTTTTATTTTTTCATGACCGTCAAGCTGGCAAAAAATGGTTTTGTTTAATGCAAATATACATTGAATGAATACTAATTATATGAATTGTACAAATACAAATTGTATAAATAATGATTATAACCGTGCGGCGATGTCGATAGCGCTGAAGGCATTTCGTAAGTAATCGGCGGTGAGCGTTTTGAAGCATTAACCGCAGCATCGTACATGGAAATATGATGGCATTGGCGTCAACACATTTCTCATCCAACAGCGAGCAGAGAATGAACGGAATCATTTGGCTCCTGATAAAGGCAGCAATGTATGTCGACTCATGCAACAAAGGAGGGGAAGGGAAAAAACAACTACTTTAAAATATACATTATAAAATTTTGTCAACGTGAAAGACTATATATTATGGCATAAGAATAGTAAATATAAATTAACTTAAATTTTCTTTTTATTTTAGCAGGTGAGGCCCACTGAGCGATGCCTCTTTCAGAAGTCATGGCCATCACAAATGATAGCCCAACGAAGTGGTGGCTTATCACGTGGACATTTATCGCTTATCACGTGGAAATGTATTTATATTCCCAACGTACGTCGATTCTAAATGTGGACGGAAAAAACCGGGGGACTCGGAGAAAAATACACGTGACCACGGAATGAGAGAGAAACACGCAAACTACAAAAAATACAGCAGGTGTCAGGGTCGGGATCAAACCCACGACCTCCTCTGTATACCAGGCGAGGTAGTTAATATCTCTACTCTTTGGTTCTATTCGGTAAAGTCACGTAGGTAAAAAATAAAACAACAAAAATCACGACGTTTCGGCCACAACACAAGCGGCCTTCATCAGGTGAAGGGACCAGGCTGTCTCGAGGACAGCGCTGTAGTGAAACACAGCCACGCTCAGACCTCGACCTTTAAGCTGTGTGCGAGGAAACAAGGTGCCCTGACAAAGGAATTAGCATGATTTACAGTACCCCGGGGTTTACAAATTGAGTTGTACCTGCGGTGATTGCTATATCGGGGAGACAAAGCGACATGTCTCTGACCGAATTCGCGAGCACAAATCAGATTTTAAACACGGCAGAACGAATTCTTCTGCCGTAGCTGATCACTGTTACAACGCTGTGGGTGATCACGATATAATTTTCTCCGATACCAAGGTTCTTTGCAAACCCACGGGTTTTTATCAGAGATTTGTTCTCGAGGCAATTCAGATCTACAAACACAGACACAATTTCAACCGAGAAGATGGTTTCAAATTAAGCAACCATTGGAAAGATGTTCTAAATCGAACCAAACATTAAACTAATTTTCAATGGTACAGTATATTTTTCAAGTAGTGGTACCCTAAACTTTCGCAGCTCTTCAAAATTCCCTTTTCACACCATCAATAGGTAAACTCCCCCTCCCCCCCTCGCCAACCGGCATGTTCACCCGCATGTACACCACCTCTACACCGTTCATCATGCTAAGTCGGCCAATCAAATGCTAATTTTTATGCTAATTCCTTTGTCAGTGCACCTTGTTTCCTCGCACACAGCTTAAAGGTCGCGGTCTGAGCGTGGCTGTGTTTCACTCCAGCGCTGTCCTCGAGACAGCCTGGTCCCTTCACCTGATGAAAGCCGCTTGTGTTGTGGCCAAAACGTCGTGATTTTTGTTGTTTTATTTTTTACCTACGTGACTTTACCGAATAGAACCAAAGAGTATGGATCCTTGCAGTCACGAAAGCTTCAAATCTAGAATAGTTAATATCTCGCCACTGCGGCGACCACATTGACCGTAGCAGTGGATCGAGCACGGTCAGGTTAATGATGGAGCCATTATTGTACGTTAGCAAGGAAAATGGAGGACCGCAAACACGTGCTTGTTGTTGTAGCGCTCAGCCTTTCGGGAAAATGTGACGTGACGGTGGCTGCCAAACGGGCTTTGCAGAATTAGGCGCGTTTGTTTCAAACGGGCGTAACGCAATGATCATCAACACCATAGGCTGGGTTCAAGCACGTCTTCAAATTTTGTTTTTATTGAAAGCTTTTGTTCATCCAGCCAACGTGGCATGCTCCCAAAATAGCTTCAGATTCCGGATCACAGCAGGTTACTTATACTCTGCACGGTTGTACATCAAAATGTGAAATTCAAAAGAAGTCAACACTGACAAATATTACCTTCTAATGTACTGACAACAGAATTTCTACAGCCTTCATCTAAAGCAGGCAATTTATTTCAAATACGAGCCATATACAGTATTATTATTATTGTTAACATGAATCTTGGATGATATTCCATCAGTGGGGAGGTGGGGGGGTGGGGTCTTTAACACAGCATGTGACTCAATGCCATGAAATTATCAAAGTAAAATTGGGCTCCTGGCACACTGCACCTAAGTCAGTTAACTTGACTTTTTCATCTCATCCACACTTGTTCCACCAGTCCTCTGGCAGGTCACAGTAACACACTCACTCACACATTCGTGCCACCCACACACTCACTCATGGACTCACACGCTCACACAAAAAGCAAAGACAAAGACCCCCCATCTAGCCTTGGACAGACTGTTGGGGCAAGTGCTGTTTGCGAGTAGCACCTACAAAGACCGGCATGGCATCCGAGGACATGGGTGGCCAGCACCACGCCCGACCGCCTTTATCTCCCCAGTGGCGATGTTCACGCATCGCACCAGGCACTCATTTAATGCCGAGTCGACCTAGGGGAGGCCCAGGACCGGTTCAGATAATCGCCAACCGGTGTTGGCCGTGAGCGGGAATCGAGTTCGTGTCACCGGGGTTCACAGCGCAATGCGCTAACCACCCACACGCTCACCCATCCACTCACTCACCACCCTGCAGGTTACACCACTTGTCATTTTTATGCTTCTATCCTCGTACTGCCTCCTCCTCCTCCCCCCCCCTCCCCACCTCCTATGTAATTCAACATCCGTGTTAACTCGATATCTAACTCAAACTTTGATCGAGCCGTTTGTTGCTGGCCGCATGTCGCTTTGAGCCTCTGAGCATGCGCTCAGCAGCCGTGATATATTTGTTCTATTTAAACAACATTTTAATTCCGCATGTGTAAGGAAGGCTGTTTTCAATTAGCGAGTGATAAAACGTAAACACGTTCACATCTCATGCAATTTTGTGGTGTGAATCAACGTGCAGAATCGTACAAGACTAATGATTTTCTGTTCATAATTAAACAAGCAGCTAATGTCGTGTGAAACTAAATATACATCAGTGCACCGTACACACGAAGGTTAAAGGCGCAGCCCTGCAATTTCTTGCTCGCGAAAAACTGCCCGGGGAAGGAGCCTCCGCCCGGAGGGAGCTCCAGAATCGACGAATCAATGAATCGGTGCCGATGTATGGCACGGAGAGTCCGATTTAGCCAGTTGCCCAGCTAGCTTGCGCGTGACATTCGTGTCGCTATGATAACAGCACCGAGAATAACAACGACGACGACAACGACCACCACCACCACAACAACAACAACAACGCCCATCACGTGAAGGCGAGGAGTTGAAGCACGTGGCGTGTGACGCAGGGGGTGTGGTCCCGAGTGGGCCGCGATCACCGCGCGCCCCGGAGTTGATGTGGAACGGTGGAGCGAGGCGAGCGAACCGAGCCCGAGCTGAGATGCAAGGGCCCATCATCCCATCAACAAAGAGAGGGCATCTGGCGTGCGTGTGCCTGTGTTGAATGAGCTGCCATCGCCCTCTAACGCTACCTTGCACTCTTCTATTAAACCCCGCCCCCCCCCCCCACTCATTCATAATAGAGATTTTTTTTGGCGAACTCGATTTAACCCAAACCCCCCCCCCCCCCTCTATTTTGGATGATATTGGTCGCGAAAGCCTACGTGTTAAACTGACCCCACTAATTCTCTATTGTCCGCCCTTCCTGTCTCCCCTCGCTGTCCTCTGCCACTCGCACGAATGCCTTCCCCGTCCCCGACTCGTCACGGTCACCCATCATCAATCCACTCATCTCATTTCCCCATCTTTATTGCACGCATCGTCGTCACCACCACCTCATTTACACAACCCCGGTTCCACTCGTCTCGTTTCATATCGCCAACCATCTTGCACCATAGTTCATTCATCAGTGTACAGCGCCTTGATTAATGCGCTATATTAAGGTTATGCTAAGATGAGACTATTTCGCACCGTACGTAGC